GGAGTTGGATTTAAAATAATCCTATTCTTTTTTCATAGATCACTAATACTCCACATTACACCAAAAAAAATCTTTAATGCGAGCATCACATTACACCAAATGATCGGGAAATTTCTAACATAAGATAAATTTCAGGCAGTTGATGGGTGGAACCGGTGGAGTTATAAGGGACCATCTAGGCAGTTGGATTGTAGGATTTTCTTGCAAATTAAAAGTAGCTAATGCCCATCATGCGGAACTACTAGCTTTGCTCCATGGTTTGAACCTAGCACAGAAAATAAACATTAATCATTTGCTCGTGGAGACCGACTCTCAGGTATTACTTAACACCTTAGAAAGTGCTAAACCAATACACTCATACATTTATTCGGATTGCAGGTCAATGCTCCTACTGATGGGAGGATCAACAATGAAGCATATAATGAGGGAGTCTAACTCAATAGCAGACATATTAGCGAAATATGGAAGGAAGACTATGGATCCAAATATGCCTATGAACAATTGTTTGTTTTTGAAGCATCTCCTTCCTTTACACTAAAAGCTCTTGAAGGAGATGCGAATGGAACTATATCGTTTAGATCAGTTCCCTTTTGTATGGATGAACCTACTATTTAATAAATAAAATCCTTCCAATTCCAAAGCAAAAAAAAAAAAAAAAAATATTACACCAAAAAAAATCTTTAATGACAATTAATTAACGGTAATAGCTTAATTGCCGCTAAATATATTCTTTAGAGACAATTAACACTCTTTGTAAATGTGCCTAAAGTCTAACAAAAAGATTCAAGATTTAGTGTATAAAAAAAATATACATGTAACACCAGAAGAAATACAAATAACTGATGATATATAGAACAATTATATAAAGGGAAGCTGCAAATGATTCTAGCACAATAAAGAAAAAACATAGTTATGATCACATAACATAATTAAGTCTTAACATTTTAACAATATTGTTGCTTCAATGAAGCAAAGAGGATTTTATACGCCTCCCGCTCAAGGCTTTTTAGGCACTTGAGGGATTTCTGAATTTGTGGCAAAGTTGGTGATTCAGGTTTAGGAATGACAGACATCTCAAGTTTTGGCAATGGTGGAAGTTCAGACTTTGGTAGAGTTGGCAGCTTGGGTTTTGGGATTTCTGGAAATTCAGACTTAGGCAAAGTTGAGATTTCAGGTAAATGTGGCAATTCGGGCCTTGATAGAGTTGGTAGCTCAAATATTGGGATTTCAGGAAATAATTTGGGCTTAGGCAAAGCTGGGATTTCAGGTAAATGTGGCAATGCAGGCCTTGATAATAGAGTTGGTAGCTCGGATTTTGGGATTTCAGGAAATAATTTGGGCTTAGGCAAAGCTGGGATGTCAGGTAAATATGGCAATGCAGGCCTTGATAGAGTTGGTAGCTCGGGTTTTGGGATTTTAGGAAATAATTTAGGCTTAGGCAAAGCTGGGATTTCAGGTAAATGTGGCAATGCAGGCCTTGATAGAGTTGGTAGCCTGGGTTTTGGAATTTCAGGGAATTCAGGCTTAGGTAAATTTTGGGATTTCAGGTAAATGTGGCAATTCGAGCTTAGGAAATATCACGCCCCGAGCCTACACCCTGGACGTGGCCGGCACTCAAAGACCATTGCTGGCCCCAAGCGAACCCTTGGCCTGACTTTCTTAACTCAGCGAAAACCTAACTCAAAAGAATAACTCCATGCAATGCAAGGACATAAAACAACTTAACTGATAAAATCTGGCCAAAAAGGCAACTCGAGTCCCAAAATAGAATATTTACATATATACATAGATGAGAGACTCAAAACTAACTAACTAACTGACTGTCTATGAAGCCTCTATAATACTGAGATGGATGTTGGGACAGACCACGCAACATCCTAATAAAACAAAACTAGGAACAAAACAATCGAGCCCTCCGAAAAGCAAGGAGGCTCACCACTGACTCTGGAGTGCTCAATTGGATCAACGGCGTGTTGGATGCTGATCCTGGGTACCTGCGTCTGCATCATAAAAAGATGCAGGCCAACTGGAATCAGTACATTGAATGTACGAGTATGCGAGCTGGTAAGCTAAGCAACATAGGCTAGAAGGAAATCTTGAAGAAACTGAATAACTTACCTGACTCAACTCAACTCAACATGACTGACTCATTTCAATATAAGGCAATTTAAAACAAGTGCAATATAAAGAAAAGTTGCTTAAAACATGCTATAAAACTTTGTGTGTATACAAAGATACAATAAGCCTTAGATGTATGTAGAAATACAAATGAACTGATGTATATAAAAATACAATAATTACTGTGGGAGTTTCTCTAACCGACAACCATCACATAAGAGCTATAGTGATGATACATCGATCAACCTCACGCTGCCAGAGCATCCTGTACCCGGCCAAAGGTATAGGACCTGAACTGCCTAATGGATCCACTAGTTTAATCTGAAAATGATTCATCTAAAAAGTATGAACCTCTTCTACCCATGATGGCTACATGGTTCTGTTGGGGCTGTGGGTTCTTTGAACGCCCCCCCAACTCGGTGCTCAATACTACTCCAAAAAATGTATTGGCTCTTATGTTTTTAAAACATATTCCTTCATGCTGATTTGAGATAATTACTCAAAAACTTAGCTCAAAGGCTATCTTGGAAATCTCAGTTTCCTCTCTTTCTTTATGAAAACTAGCCCTAAGGCTCTTTGGAAATCTCAGTTTCCTCTCTTGTTTAAATGTGAAGACATTTCTTTAAAAACTTCTTTGGGAATACTTAGTTCCCTAATAACTTTTTGAGAAATGAACTCAACTTTATACTCCTGGCTTAACTTGAAACTCTATACTCTTTACTTTTCTTGAAACTTGAGCCTTAAAATGAAGTTAAAATGTTCAATAAAGACTCTTGAACAACTTTGAAAACTTGATTTGACTTACTTCTTTAAACTTCTAGACTTGACTTCTAACTTCACTTGACTTTGATCCGAACTCGCCTTGAATTGGATTATGGATTCAAGGTATATGATCACACGTTTATGGATGAGTTCTTGACGTTTAGACGTACCTTGGAGTGTTGAAAACAACTAGGAAACGTAGGTACAATACCAAGGAACATGCATGAGAAAGTGTGAAATGAATGGGGAAACTTGGCGTCCTTGGCGCTCTACAAGGCGCGGGGCGCCCCACGGGAAAAAGCTCAGAAGCTCTTTTGGGGCGCGCTGGCAGGCGCGACGCGCCACCCCTTTCCCCAGAAAACTCGACTTTTCTTCTTCATTTTTCCAACTCTAAACCTCCTTAACTTCATTGGTTCCATCCCCAAACACTTAGAATCATAAACCCTTCAACATACAATAGATTTCAACTTAAAAACACAACCAAATCATGTACCAAACCAACAAGAACTTCAAAAACACAACCAACAACTTCAACAACACAACCAATCTTTTCTCGGAAATAAAACGAGTTTGGCGTGTGGGGAAAAGAGCCAACCCAACACTATGAACTCACATACCTAGTAGGGATCACCCCCGACGATATCCACGACGATCTTTGACGAATCCTTGCTTGATCTTCTCTTTCTCCTCTTCTTCTCTTCTTCACTCACAAACCCTCACTCTCACTCTTTAAAATGGGACAAACTGATCTAAAAATCAGTCTAACACAACAATATAACCAAAAGAATTGGTTAATGAAAAGACCAAAATACCCTTAAAATTTTCGGACTAATTTCCCTGCCAACTGCCCAACTTCCAAAGGGCATAACTCACTCATACAAACTCGGAATCGAGCAAACTCGGTGGTGTTGGAAAGATCATTCCATGAGCTTCGCAAACATAACTGGAAATACACCTAATTCATCCTAATATAGGAGTTATGACTGTTCAAAGTTGGCCAAAAACTCATTTTTTTCCCCATACTTGACAATTTTCCAGATTTTTGAATTCTTTCCAAGAATGACTATTTCCACTTCTAAACCTCTTCATAGATATTTCAAATTGCCGGATGTTACAGGAAACTCAGGCAAAATTACTTCAAGAAGATGGCGCGTCTGCTAGATTTATGTAGTTGTTTGTTAAAAACAAAGTGACAAATAATAAGTAAAAAGATGGGTTGTAGTGATTATAAGCCATTGTTGAAAGGTGATAAATGCTTCAAGACTAGTAATTTATGTTTTGGTTGATTATGCTAATATGCTTTATGTTTCACTTCAAACAAGTTTATATAGATGTGTGGTTGTGGAAAATAAAAATTAGAGAATAAGGCTTTGGTAGGAATATTAATTGTGTGTTAGTTCATCTTCTCAACAATAACCTCCTAATTTAATCTGACAATAAATTTCCTTGTGTAACATATTCAAGCACATAAGAAAAGTCTCCCTTACCTAGTTATTGTCCTATACTACTGTTATGAACCAAGTTCATTCCAATATGAATACCAAGGTCACACAAATAGTTATTGGACTAACAAGAGTTATTGGGCTGAGAACGAGCAATAGGGACAAGTTAATTTGGAATCCGGGTTGAGTAGTGGGCATGAGAACAATTCCCTAAAAAATGATAGTGATATGTGATTTCGAAATTATGCAAATTCTTAAGAAAAAGAGTTCGATTCTTCTTATCTCTGTTCTTAGCTAGAGCTTCTCATCCCCTTCTATCAATCTTTGGATTTGTCTTCCCCTCGAATAACATTCTCTGTTTCGTTTTAAGGATCATTAGTTGTTACTTGCTTGATATTTCCATTTCTAAATTGTATTTTGTGTTTTCAATGATTATAATACATATCATTATTGTGCCGTAACTTGAGTTGTTACACCTACCTTGGGGTCTCAGAAGGAACTCGTAAACTTCAAATTTTGAATTTACCTTTCACTTGAATCAAGAAAACAGGACACAAAATATCGTTTGTGTAGAGTACTTATCTAATGATGCGTATTAGAGCCTTAGCTAATAATTAATGGAATATCAGAGTTCTTAGAGTAAAAATAAAACTGTATAAAATGCTACTTGAATCACAAATATATATTCTTCAAACATGACATTATATATAGAGGCTGGCGTGTACACACACACATATATATTATTCTTCAAATTAAACATAATATTATATTATTTATTTTACACGCTTGCTAGCACTAGCCAATATTTTCAAATACTCATCACACAAGAACAAACACACAGATATATGTATGCATAGGACCATTGAACATCGTAGATTTTCTAATTCTTGAGAAGGTGACCCTCTACATCCTTGATCAGACCAATGTAATAATCCAAGATAGCTAGGGGTTCTGGGGTATCTTTAGTTTTCTTCTCATACACAAGTGTATATGTCATCCATTGATGTTCAGAGGATGTAATAACAGTGAAGGAATTATACAAATCTAACAAATTTCCTTCAATCGCATTCCAAGTGATTGAATTCTTCTGAGGATCGATGGCATCAATCACAGTCTTAGCAAACATTTCTTTTCCATCTATTCATTAAAGATAGAAAAAATACATTAGATGTTAATCCCAATTCAAATGTTCAAATTATTTCTTTTATTTTCCCTCTTTTATTATTTTCATTTTAATAAAAATGATCTAATGCTCGTGAAGATTAGAATGATGGCTGAAGTAATTATCCATGAAAAAAATATCAAATGTTATTCAGAGTTCTTATCGTTTGACTCTAAGAAAAGGAAAACATGACAATTAAAAGTGGACGGAGGGAGTAATTAACACCATTAACTAACTTTTTCATGGATAGGTGAATTACTTTCGAAATATGAAATACACCTAAATGTGGAAAATTGATGCAATAAGTATTGCGAGAAAGAGAGGAGAGAAATGTGTGTGCTACCTTCGTAATATTTCCAACTAGCAACCGAACCAATTTTTCCTTTTTCACCTTCATGAATCTCAAAATGCTTGACTCTACTAGGGCTTATGTTGGGTAGATGTTGGGTATTAGTGTGGAAAATATCATGAACCGAATGTCCTCCACACTTCATTTCCAATGAAACAATCAACTTACCTTTTACGCCCATATTTTCTTTTCCTAGTAATAGCAATGAGTTGCGAAAGGAAGGTGGTAAGAAAATGTATAAAACTTGTACCTCTTATATAGATTTTAATTAATGTAAGAAGCTAATCAATGAAAAATATTATTCACCAAATATCTATATCACATAGTGGCGGTGTTAATTAAATTGTGTATAAGTAGGTTTTAGTTTAGTTATAAATTTATTATAATATTTTACCATGATAATTTAAATATAATGACAATACAATTATAAATAATGAAGTATATTTATTTTTATGTAACCGTATTTTAATTTCTTCTTTATTGAGGGTGATCAGTTGTGGTATCAACGTCTTGCTTCTTTTTCGATCAAATATTGATTTCATTTTGCTATCTTCTCCCGATCGTAGAGCCTGATCGACTCAACTATTTAATTCCCTGCCCCATGCCTCTCACTTCATTTCATTCTTCTTCTCATGTACCCTCGCTTGAATGAAGACACTCGATCAACCCGACTTTCCCAAGTGCCCCCACCGGTCCTTATCCTTTACGAGTATGGCTTAGTTATTCCTGTAAAAATCACTCCCCTAAAAATCATCTTTGCCAAACAAGTGAATAATGTTATGAATAATTTTTTCAATTTATTATTTTATCATCTTCATGTTATTATTATTATTTTATTTTTTTTGCTTATTAACAGAAGGATTTTATTTAATAATAATAATAAAGGTTTATCCATACAAAACAAAAGAGGAACTAATCTAGACGAATTAGTTCGTATAGTTTAGCATGTAGGTTTTATTTTATTTTTGTTGTTGTTTTAGATTTTCTCTGTCGAATTTCGATTAAGAGAATAGAATATATCACATGATTCATATAATATTCCGAGCTGCCTTGTTACTGACTCTGCTTAATTTTATTATGAACTTCTATATGTATATTGCAGGAAGGTACAGTTTCTACATATAGAAGAGCAGACTCCTGAATATATATTGTTGATACAACGAAAGGTTTATTTAAATAGTCAGGTTAGTTTCATTGGCTTCACAACCTCATACTTTTGTTTGAAACTTATATGCTTTCTAACTACCAGAAATGATAAGTTGTTCAAGGATCTCATAAGTTATGCAGAGTATTAGAAGTTATGAATTATGCATTTGTTTAATTCAGATAAGGCACTCAGAAGTTATGCAGAATATTAGTTGATCTATACTTGTACAAGACAATTTTTCTTTTTTAATCTTTGGGTATAAATGTGTACTTCAAATCTAATCACACTGCTAACATTTTTATAATTCAATTAAATATTAATTTCTTATTAAAAATATTTAATGATTTTAGCATTAAAATGATTATATAGGTGGTATAATTATGTTATATACTCTTCAGTTGTAACATTATATATATATATATATAGATTTCGGAGGTTATAACCCTTGTTGGTAGTGGACTGTATTACGTAAACACACTTAGCATGCATTAAGCTGATGAATAAATTCTTATCTAGTGTCCTCGACTTCACATGAACACGAGTAGATTTATTACGTGTCAATTCTCATGAGAGAGGAGAAAAATGCAGTAGTTCAATCCAATATAAAGCTATCATGGGATCCTTCAAATTACTTAGGCGAGATATGAGACCAAGGAGAGAAACTTATCGAAATTTCAGAAAAATGAAGTATTCAGGGGATCAAAGAGAACAACTAATTTAAATTCCAAATAACAAGTGTAAGGACCTCTTGAATCTGATCAAATTCATATGTGACTAATTGTTAGTTTACCTAATATGAATTAGCATGTACAATATGCTAAACAAATGAGGGCAGAACAGACTCAGCATCAATTAATTCTATCATATTCTAAAGTTCAATCAGATAGTAACTTCTTCATCTACATATTCATAACCCAACCTTGAGCCTATTACGTAATGACTCTTTTCTAAAAAAGAATAGGAACAATGTAATTTCTACTGGCACACTCAGTCTAAAAGAAATAAGAGTTTCAAAGACACATGGTTCATACAAAGTTAATAACTTGCAGAATCAGTATAAAACCCACACAAATGTCCAAAGAAGTAGAAATTCAGATAGGTGCTCAACATTTAATCATGAATAATAACAGCAAAGGTGACATGTACTAACCTTATGTAGAGCAGCAAACAGGGTTTGTCGTCAAGATTCAACTTAGAACTTCCTTCAACTCGAATTCAACACTAAAACAAACTCGCTGGATTGTTGTTGGGTCTTTTTTTTTTTCAACCGATTTTTGGATTTTCTCACTGATTTTTCGATTGTTTTTTGGATGATATGTTCACTGTTTGCAGAAGGAACCAAATGGCTCATTTTATAGCCAAATCGTAACCTCTACTTGCCTCAACAATTCAAAATTTTGAATTCTTGGAAAGCGAAAACGGAAGGACTAATGATGAAGGGGACGAAAAATCTCTCAAGAATCGACCTTTCCAGGTCACGCCCCGAGCCTACGTCCTAGGCGGGACTAACACTCGAGAACCATTGTTGTCCCCAAGCGAACCCTTGGCCCAACTTACTTACTCAGCGGAAGACTCTAAGCATTATTACAATGATCAAGTGCACTTACTCAATGGTTTAATAAGATAACTTAGAATGTTTAAAAGTCAACATTCAACTTGGCCAAAATGGCAACTCAAGTCTTAACATAAAAAATGATAATGTAAAGACAACTGAACTACTAACTGTTTATGAAGCCTCTAAAACAAAGAGGGATGTCGGGACAAGATCCCCGATCATCCTAACAATGAAATACTGAAAGAAAATGATAAAAAGTGTCCTCCAGAATGCAAGGAGGCTCACCAACTGACTCTGAGTGCTCAACCTGATCAATGAGGTGCTGGATGCTAATCCTGGTTACTTGCGTTTGCATCATAAGACGATGCAGGCCAACTGGCATCAGTACATTGAATGTACGAGTATGCGAGTTAGAATGCTAAATACAATTTAAGCTTGAAAAGGATCTAAAAAGAACACTTACCTTGACTTTACTTAACTCATGAATAACTCAACTCAAAATACAGTGTAAAACAACAATAATAGTATAATTTATACAAAGCATTTAGAACAATAAATAACAACTTAATTTGTTAAAGATATGCAATAACAAACTCAACTTTACTCATCTATCAAAGTCATATAGTTTCTGTGGGAGATTCTCTAACCGACAACCACCACTATGAGCCTAAGCGGTGATACAACGTCTTGCCCACACTGTCAAAACTGTCCTATACTTTGTCATCATATAAAGCGCCTTAACTAAGTGGATCCACTAGTATGATCCTTTACTACCCATGATGTCTACATGGTTTATGGAAACTTGAGTTAACATGAACTCGCATCCCCATATTGGTGCTCAATACTACTCCCAAAATATACTTAGCTCATATGTTTTTAAAACAAAACTTCTTTCTTTGGTTTGAGATAATTACTGGAAACTTAGCTTAAAAGCTCTCTTGGAATCAATGTTCCCTTTCTTGTTCAAATGTGAAAACATTTTAAACACTTGGGAATACTTAGTTTCCTTATAACTTTTGGAGAAATGAACTCAACTCTTTACTCTCTTTGCTTAATCTTAAAACTTAAGTCTAAGAACAAAGTTAAAACGTTTGTGAAAGACTTTTGAAAAACTTTGATGAACTTCTCTTGACTTGCTTCTTAACTTCTAAACTTGACTCTTAACTCTCCTTGAATTGAATTATAGATTCAAGGATTGTGACTTGTGATAGGGAAGATCTCATGATGTTTCAGAGTGTTTTTAGATAGCTAAACATGAGAAAAGATCAAAATTTCACTGTTTAGGGTGGGTCCGCGAAGCGGAGACGTAATTAAATTTTGGTCGCAAAAATACTTTTTTAGGCAGAACGGTTCGTGACCGCTCCGCCCCGCAAAGGATTTTTTTTCCAAATCTGGGGAGCAGGTCCGCGACGCGTAGCCGGTGCCCAGATTTACCCGACTAAATTTCTTCTTCATTTTCCAGCCCCAATTCGCCCATACTCAGTTCTTTTTCCCAAATTCTTTTTAGATACAGATACCCAACAAATGTACCTAAGAACCTAACTCCAGACAACTCAATAATTTGACGTAATGATCTCGATCAGAAACTTCTCAATTTCAACCCAACTCAAGAACAATATCAATTTCAAGAATAGATATCAAGAACATCAACTTTCAAACTCTTTTAGGATGAATTCACGCTGAAATAAACATGTTTGGCACGTGGGTCAACTATTTAATTCCCTGCCCCATGCATCTCACTTCGTTTCATTCTTCTTCTCATGTACCCTCGGTTGAATGAAGACACTCGATCAACCTGACTTTCCCAATTGCCCCCACCAGTCCTTATCTTTTACGAGTATGGATTAGTTATTCCTGTAAAAATTACTCCCTTAAAAAGCATCTTTGACAAACAAGTGAATAATGTTACAAATAAAAAATATATCGTTGGAAAACTATATGCACAATAGAAGCATATCCGAATCATACTGCTTACATATATAAATAATAGATAACCAATATATATTTATGATAGAACACATACAATTATGCTAAAATACATAAACTTGTTGAAATTTAATTCAAAAATTACCTCTTAAAGAAGCGTGAAGCATGAGTAGATACCTTCGAACTATCTCAGTACTTGGATGAACAAGTATCGTATAAAAAACTTTTCTGTCTCTATATATATGTGATTCTTTATTGATTTGATTTGACTTTTCAATTTGATACTACCATTTTTAGGTTTGATTTAAACAACTTATGCCTAGCCTCAAATTTATAGGGTTACTCCTAACTTGTAATATAAGGCCACTATGGAACATAGAATAACACGAGGAAATTATAAACTTTACTCTTCTTTATTTTTCTTCTGAGTTGTATCCTATGAAATCTCAAAATATTCAATGTTGAATTGATAATTACTAACTTCTTTTTTTGGCGATTAATTTCTTCAATTTATTATTGTATCATCTTCATGTTATAATGATAAGTTGTACATATTTTAAAGGAAGTTTGAATCTATAGTTTAATGAAACTAA